GACGAGCAATGACCAAGAAATTGTTTGGTCTTGAAAGTTCCCCTCTTCTCGAACATTTTAATATTTCCATCTATATTCAGCAATTAAACACACAAAGTACCAGATGTGTTTGTTCACTGATGTCCCTAATTGTGCATGGCATGACAAAGGCTAACGTTTCACAAATTTAAGTCAAATTCTAAAGTCATGGTCAAGAGATCAAAGTAATTTTGCTACCCAAATGAAAATCTTATCGCTAGAAATAAATATGTTAAATAGGATATTCTTGTGCCAACTGTTCAAAAGATAAGCCAAAATTTAAATTCAAATTCAAAGGCCAAGATCAAAATTGTTGCAATAAAAAAGAAAGGTCTTACTACAAGAAATATAAATGTGAAATATTAAAGCCATAGCTACAATTGGCCTCACCGGTTTTAATGCGCATCTACAATCGTTCTGCACATGCGCATATCATGTGATCTAGGCCGTCATGTGACATGCTCCGTAGCGTTCTGTCACAGAAGCAAAAAGATTTTTCAAACTCTTATATTTCCTACCATGTGAATTATATTTTATAACAAAAAAAAAACAGTTCATTTGTCAAAAATTGCCACATCTGGGCAATATCAATGATGAATAATGATATCCTTTTCCACAATGAGTAAGGTGACCGTCATAAACCGAGTCTTCTGTCTTGAGTGTCATTTATTCAATGTGGTTAAGCATGGGTGCCTCCTCTCTCTCTCTTTTTTTAATCATATCTTTAGTGTTCAAAGTCTAAGGTACATGTAAATGATATTTTGGGGATTTAATAATCATATTATTGTAAGATATTCAACTATTTTTCTGTGAGTTGGCGATCTTTCATATCAAATTGCTTAACAAAGGACTTATCTCTTCCCCAGCTTGCTTTCATTTGGCACAAAACAAACATGATTATTAAACATATTCCTTCTTTCTCCACAACAATAAATCAATGATTGACTAAACTTCTGACAAGTCTTTCGTCTTCATGAACCGTGTACAAATTACTACCGGGTATATATTACTGCAACGGAATTTCCAAGATATATACATTAAACTTTACAAACGTTCGATGCTCGAATATTCTGATCTGAATTGTGTTTTTGTAAAATATAGAGATAGTTCGCGAAAATGTTTATCACCCTTGTATGTTTTTTTTAGAAACGGATTTATATTACTAATAGATTTTTCAGATTGATCTGCTCGTCATCTTCACATTTTTTTTTCAAAAACTATAAATACGATTAATGAGAAATATACTATCCTCTTCGTATATTTCAAAGAGCTTTTGCACACTGTCAAATATTTATCATCTAACAAATGTTGTTTCTGGTTTAATTTTTAACACTTTTTGCACTATAAAGTTTCGTTCAAAACAACATCTGTTCTACAGGAACTATTTAAAATAAATGACGAGGAATTTAAGGATTAATGAATGTTAAAACCTGGAGACCATAAACTGAGGACACACTTGAGTAAAAATTTTGGTTGTGAATTAAAGTTGTCATTTATAAGACATGCCTTACGAAAAAAAAACTGTATGTTTGTATAATATTCCAATTTAAACATGCAGTAAAAATTTCGTTTCCTTATCAAAATTATTTTTAGTTACATTGATTTGAAATTTTGACTGTTCTCAGTCTATGGTCTTGAGATCCGTTCACATAAGTAATAATTTGAAACTACCTCTGTTGGGGAGATAAATTACATAATGTGGCAATCAATCAATATATTTTTAAACGTATTCCTAAAACTAGTGAATAAAATTAGACTTCCCGAGGACATCTTTATACATACGTACCTTTCGACATAACTGAATAACTTCCATGAAAAAGTGAAATAGTGTTTCAATGTTGAAGAATTTTAAAGTAGTCCTCTCCAATTTTAACGCGAATCTGCAACCGTTCTGCCCATGTGCATATCACGTGATCTAAGCGATCATGTGACATGCTCCGTATCGTTTTGTCACAGAAGCGAAAAGATTTTTCATACTCTTATAATTCTCATCATGTAAGTTATTATTTTTTTTTTTATAACAAAAACAGTTCATTTGTCAAAAATGGCCAAATATCGGAAATAGCATTGGTAGATAATGATAGCCTTTTCCACAAAGAGTATGGTAACATTCATAAACTGAGTCCTCTGTCTTGGGAGCGTCATTTTTTCAATGCGGATAAAAGCATGGGTACATCTCTCTTTTTTTTTTTTATCATATCTGATATGTTCAAAGTCTAAAGTAAATGATATACTAGGGATTTCATTTCTGTTTTCAGTTTATGGTCTTGGGATCCAATGTGGCAATCAATACATTTTTAAACGGTGCAAAATATTTCTGGTTTATTATTTTTTAAATAAACCAGCCTAACAACATATAACCTTAATAAATGTATATCTAACATTTGATGAATTGAAGCATAAAACTAACCTGTTCGTCTTAAGGTTGTTCTATATAAATGGACAGTTGTAATCGTTTAGAGAAATAACGTCGTAATTTTGTATAACATCAGGTTCAGCGCTTTTATATATCATTTACGCAATGAATTATATTTTAGAAGAGCTGCTTAACCTAAAGTTGTTGAAATATTTTAATTAGACTATTTTTTGAACTATCCTGAAAGTACGGATTTATGTGAGATATCAAATATTCTGACAATTTCTTCTTTGTTTATTTTTAGATGCACCTGAAACAACAAGTCATGTGAAATCAACAGAATCCCAGAGTATACCCGGTTTTATTACCACAGAAACGAACAAGTTCAAAAACTATAATTACCTGTTTTTCAGAAGAATTGTTATTTTAATAGGAGCATTGATATCAAGTTTTCTTTTTTTGATCATTTTATATGAAATTTACAAATTTTACTTTAGTAGAAAAGAGCAACATTATTATATAAATATTACCGACGATGTCTATGCCGAGATTTATCATACTGGAAATGAAAATGAAGTCAGACAGATGTAAAGGAATATCAGACAACGTATTTCTTTATAGACTGTATATTGTAAAGGTACTTAATTGTCATACTACAAAACCTAATAATATTTGTCACTAAATGAACAATGGACTTTAATAGAATGTGCAATTTTTTGCATGGTTATCTTAGAATATTCTATCACTTTACAAACACTTGTTTTATAAAGACAAGAGAAGACAACTATCATCATTTCTTTCTTTTGGCTTGTAATTTTAAATTATTTATGATTAAAAAGCTTCATGTAAACAAAATTTATTATAAAACCATAGGTACTTACTAAAATTTATTTATTGAATAAAAATGGTATTTTGTAACAGCAAAATGATATTCTCCTTCCCAACACAAAAACAGTGCTACTTTATGAGACTGAAAAAGTACATTAACCATGCATCTTTAGAGACTAATATTGTCAATTTTTCTCAGAGTATGAAATGTTGAAATTCTTGTTAAAATGCTTTCAGTTTCACAATATTTGGCGATTTTACGTCTCAACGGCTCACCTTTAAGATCACAACTAATGACAACTGTATGACAAAAACGGAGATAATAAAAGAAATAATAAAATATAATTGTTTTAAAATAGAAATGAAAGATAATTTTGTTAAAAACATCATTCAGTATTTTGTAATTGAATATTGCATCAACCACAAAGCAGGATTTGTGAAATAAAAATAAAAATAAAATATGTATAGCTCACGTATTATATATTATTACTCTTGTAACAGTGCCGTGGATTTCCTCTGAATTGTTTGATATGTTTAAACATTTTTTAAATGCATTTTTTTCAAAACAATGAAGTACATTTAATATTCCGTATAATCATTTTATGATTTAAAGCTCCCAGCTGATGTGAAATGAACGGACATAATAATAACCCATTGTAAAAAAGTTTCAAATCAGCATATTTATTTTAGAAATTACATTCATGTATTTTCATTGTTCTTATTACATGTGTATCAAATATTTTTTTTCATCATGATTTGTTTTATTCTAGTTTTCTAATTTATATGTAAAACTTTTGTCTCCTAAAATGGTTGTTACATTCCTAAATCTTTTTTCACATTCCTAAAATTTAATCATTTTTAATTTTTACACAGTGTTGTATCGGTATAAATATTTTTAGGGCCTAGGTGTTTACATAATTTGTAACCATTTTCTACGATGAAGTATGAATAAAGGACATAATTATTGTATTCATTATTATTACTATGACACAGCATAGTATTAAAATGAAATAAAAAACGGTTCCTGCAAAATAATATAAAATACAAAATATTATTTATTAACCCAACTGTTGCTTTTTAATATTGATATACTTTTTCTGGCAATTTTAAAAGTTCAATGTAACAGATTTTTATTACTGTATGATATCAAATGAAACAATTCAAATATGTTACCAAATCGTGTTTTATCACGACAGGTTTATATCTTATAAAAGGGTATAAAAGCTATTGGATATACAATTGTTCTTGACTGTAAATCTTGTATAGTATTCTGAAAAGGTAAGAACAATGTCTATCATTACCGACGAACAAATATGGTTTATATTATTGGATGAAAATATATGATATGCAGCATTATGTAAAAATATAAGTATTTTCAAATTATTATAACGGATCAGATCGATAAATCAAGAAAATGTTTACTATTAAAAGCAACATGGTAAAAGAAGTATGTAAATTTGAATTAATTTTTTGATTAAAACATAATTTAGTCTAATACTCTTTGAATAATTAAGAGCATCTTTAAGTATGCCTACCGATTTATGAAAAAATAATGTATAAAAACAACAATTGCATAGTTACTACGTCTGATTTAATCTGTATAATTGCATCTTGTTTAAATTTGTTCGGCGATTTTTATTTTACCTTTACGTTCAATCTGAACACAATTGTTGAGACCATACTTTGATAACTAATTATTTACAAGGTTAAAAATGATTGGATGCAAAAGTATCATTTGTTACATGACTTCAAATGTTTTATCATTGTTTTTCCTTTTTTATAGAATGTGTCCTCTTCTTTTTGTTTGTGGATTTTATGCAATGTTAGGTATCATTGCTACTGAAAAGACGTCACCTCTACCCAGTCTGAAGTCTTTCAGGGACGACTATGACAGTGTTGCTAAAACATGTGTGGCCGTTGGTTATGTAAAAGACAACTGCAAAAATATCCGAGAAAAAAGTAAGACACATGCATTTATATAAGAAAGAACGCATACGGTTTTTTTTATATCTATAATGATTAATTATGCCAAAGTAAAACGTTTCGTTTGGTGTAACATTTCCAAAAAGCAACGACAGGGGTTATTAAGCTATGCACAATCTCGCATTTTTTGCTTTCCATTAATGCCTAAATATATTGGGCTACTCAAGAGTACGGTCTACGAGACAAGCTATTAACAAACAAGTTAATGACTCGAGTTCAACAGTCTCGCGATCGTTTGAAGTCATCGTATTTCAAGTGTTTAGCATTCAAACGAAAAAGGAACAATATCTTAAATTCTTCTTCTCAAGAACCAATTGCCAGAAAAGGTGAAACTCATTCGGAATCATCCTCATCATTGATCAAACATAGATTTTGTAGAAAATCCACCAGGCTGCAACGTAAGTGGTTTGGTTGGTAGCTGCAAACTGTAGCTCTCCAAAAAAAAAAAATACGTTGACAGACCAGAGAGCTACAGTGCCACCCAAAGAAAAAAAATGTACTAGTAATTAATTCTCAACTCAAGGCATCCTGATATAGCCGACATGAATAAAACCAATGTAAATTCAACATTGGAAATAAAATATTATTTGATATTTCTTTTTAGGAAACGGGATTATAGCCTTCGAGGCCAGAGGCAAAGGAGGTATACAGAGAGTAAGCCAAGGAAACACCGTTACATTTGTAGAAGTCGATCTAAATTTAGGAGGAGGTTACAACGCCATTAAAGGAGTTTTCGTTGCTCCAAGGGCGGGTGTGTACGTCTTCGGTTGGAAAATATTTACTGACACCAACAAGATAGCCTACACCTCCTTACTTGTGAACGGTAAGAGAAAGGCATATAATCCCTGTCATAATAACGGCCATGGTCTCGATGGGACTTGCAGTGAAATGGCAGTTGTTAGAATGGCAGCCGGCGATAAAGCTTGGATTGATTCCTTTTACAGTACAGCATCAATCAACGCTAAATATTGTTCTTTTTCTGGTTTTATTTTGTAAATGAAACATAAATGTTCAAATGAAATGGTAATAAAATCTTGTTTGATTTCAATCTCCTCCACAAGTGACTACTATACAATGTGATTCAGCATACTTCTCTGTTCACTTCTCTGAAGTAAGCTTTTGGGATGACATACACACGCATTCTACTTCATATGTATACACATGTTAAAAGTTTGTAAAAAGTATTTCATAAATAATGTATTTATCATTAAATATTTCCAATATATCTGCTATTACGCATGTAACTACATTGTATAGGAAAGCATAATTCACAGTTTTATTTCCTCTAATTTGAAAGCACACAAAAACCATATTTAGAATAGAATTCACTTAAATCCCAGGGATGTTTAAATAGACATTTTGCGAAACATAATGACGAAAAGATATTCATGAAATCTATATAAATCTCTTTGAAAAGTAAATTAAAAAATTGAAAGGAAACTTATGCACTAAAATGCCAAAAAGTTATAGATTCAGTGTATAAAACTTGTTATATTATGACTTGTTTGAATTACTATGAATTCATTGCTGGATTCATAGATTCAGTATTATGATCATGGAATACTGATGGAATTAGTTGAAGCTCCTATGAGAAAAAGCAAGAAGTCAATTTTCAGGCTGCCATGAAAATTGTACAAGCACATCTTCTATGTCATGTGATTTTTGTAATTGTGATAATGTAAAAGGTACCGGTGTATGGCAAAAGTTGAATATTGTTATGAACATCGATGTACAATGGAAACATATTGTTATAGGATTCTACTTGGAAACAAATACTACTTGGAAACAAATTCAAGAATTCTTTTTTATAATACTTTTATATCATATTTGGCATATTAGATATATAAATTTAAAATAAAAAGTAGAATAGAAAATATCATACAAGAAAAGTCCATGCTAGAAAAAAAGCATTAAAGGTTCTTTAGAAAAAGATGTAGATTTTATGCTAAAGAAGATGGGCGCGTTTTGCGGGTGATCTGCAGGAATCATCAAACATTTATGGTTTAAATGACCGTGATTTGGTTGGCTGAATATAGCTGGTCAGATTTTACAAACACCTTCATAGGTTTTTTTTTTTATTTAGTTTGAAAGACATTGTGAAATTATAACATTTTTGTTATTGTTTCCTAGGGGAAACTATAACATAGTAATGTTTCACAAAAAAATAAACGCCTAAAATATTTAATGCATAGATGCATGATAAGTGTACATGTACATTTTAGAATAGACGATTAAAATTGATTTCGCTCGAGTACCAAACTGAACCAAATTTTATCTAATTCAAAATTTTAATACATCAGTACATAAAACGAAACTGACAAAATAAATGGTTGTTTGTATGGAAAAAAAATTAATGCCCCATGCCAGGCTCGAACCAAAAACTTTGGTTAAATAGATAAATAAAACCGATAAATAAAAAAAATGTTAAAATTTCATGTGACATGTCGATAAAATTTTCACTTTTTAATTACGTCTAGATTCCTGCCGAATGCCAATCTAAAGCGCCCTCGTTCTTTGTCAAAAACATGCATGTTTAAAAACCAAGTTAAAATTTCAACAAATTTGTTATAACTTATATTTTGTAGTTTTTTTCTTTGTTGTTTTTATGCTAGTTATCCTAAATACCTGGGTTAACTGGCAATTGTAAATGGGTATTGATGGGAATTGTAAAATAAAAGATAAAAAAAAGTCGTATGATTTTAAAACCGTAAAATACACATCAGAAAAATTGAAATGATACCAAAAAATATTGATTAATATTTGAAGTTCTAAAACCTTGAAAATATCTGAAATTATTACAAAATTTTGGTACACTACGAGAATTTTCAAATTATACTGATTTCAAAACAACTCATGTGTATTCGACATTGGGTTTAACTGAAAGTTTAGATTGTGAGAATGTCAAGGCTGAAACTTCAAAAGATGAAGTTTAACTTCGTCACTGAAGCAAACAAATGAATTTTAATAATGTATAAACAGTTGACAATCGTGTGAAGTTGAAAAGATTTATTGAATCAATGGTCAAACTCTTTCAAATGATTCGATTGGCAGGAGCAAACTCTACGTACGAATTATGTCTAAAAGTAGGTTAGTTATTGACAAAAAAAAAATGATGAAACAAAAATATCAGGAGTCCCGTTTAAAGTCATTACAACGTACTTTGATCGATACAGTGACCATGTCAGCAAGTACAATTCGTTATGAAGTCAAATGCTGACTGAGTGTCTAAAGTGTTGACGAAAGTTTTCGTTATTTTCCGATCATAACAAGGAGCACACGGCAGATGAGACAAATTGGCAAGAGATGCTCACTTCTCCATGCCACTTGATCCCACATCTGATGTTTTAGAGGTCCCTGTTTGCTGTGCTCCTGTTTTGTACAGTTAAATAAACCTTTGAACTCGAGTTCTGCTCAAGTGCTGTCCGTTTTCGCCTAATAGAGAACACCAAACACGTAGCGAACGAACGTATCTCGACGATATTAACCGTATTACTAGTTTATAAATACCATCACTCGTTTTGTATTTATTTTGTAATTATTTCATAGACGGATCCAGCACTGGCTCGCCGGGCGTGCGCCCCCTCCCCCATTTGATTTTTAAATTTTATTTGATTATCTTAAAATCAACAGGAAGACACATCTATTTTGTTAAAGAGTTCCTCAGTTTCCGGGGTTTCGCCCCTGGATCCCCACCAGGGCTTTGTCGTGGACCCACTGGGGGCTTTAATGCAGCCCCCAGACTACCCCGTCTTCTACTGCGCTCCCCCCACGTTTTGAAATTCCCGGATCCAACGCTGAATAAATATTAAGACAGATTAACTGCTAGTACATATTGCTACACTTCCTAGTTAAATATGAACGACCGATCTCGGGTTATTATATTTATGTCGGGTTCCGTATATCGACACCCTAGATGGGAACTTGCATCTATTGTTATATTGTGCTCAGCTCTTGCAAAGCGTCGTATTGATAATGGTTACAACCTATAAGTATGGCACGCCAAATTCATTTCGCAGTTGATAAACTGGATTTATCAACTGTAAACTAAATTTTACAAACCGTAGACTATAGTTTTTATCTGTAAAACTATATTTAACGGTTGTTAACTCTAGTTTACGAATGCTAATCTGAGTTTATCTGTCTGTAATAAAACGTTAACAAAAGATTTTGTTGATAAACACAGATTCACGTCTGTAAACTATAATTTATAATCGTGAACTATAGTTAAGAGTTGAAAATCATAGTTTCACAAATCGTGAAACTATATTTATCAGATCGTTAACTAGAGTTGTAAACCATAGTTTACGGTTCTGAAACATAGATTATCGCATTAACTGTGATTTACAGATGTAAAATATAAATTAACGTTCAATTTTTTAACTATAGTTTACAGTCCGTTAACTATAGTTTACAACCGATAAACCTAGTTTATCGACTGTGAAACTATGTTTAGCTCATTTTTGTGAATTTGGCGTGTCATATATAAGACATTATAGTAATGAACAAAGGTCATCCTTTAACATGGGCGGATGCAGCAATTTTTGAAAAAGGGGGGGGGGGGTCCAGGTCGATGTACCCTGCAATCATGCATAGATACTTCAAGTCCGTAGCTTCATTTATAAGAAGGGGGAGCTCCAAAAACATTTGACAAGCAAAAAAAAAAGACCTAACAAACAAACAAACAAAAACAAAACGAAAATAAAACAACCTATGCACCACACTTTAAAATTGGGAGGGGGTAGAGGGGGACTCCGTGTCACTTTTCTGTTCGATACAGTACTTTCATTCTTGAATCTGTGTATTTTCCTGCAACAAAAGATGTTGAGGGAGCTTCCAAAACAAAATATTATTTAAAACTGTAGCAAAAGATTATTCTCAGAAAAAGTGAGCACCCTCCTTCTGCATACTACAGGAACATTTTAACATTTTTCTTTATTGATTAAAAATATTTCATATGCATACTTCTAAAAGTTAGTTACTTCTGAAGATGGTCCAAAAGCTAAAGTTCGCTGGAATTTTCCATGTATGTTACTTGTGGAAGTTCGGAAGACTTAAACGGGGTTGTGAAGGTACACGGAGGAATGCAAATATATACGCGAAAATCTACAGATCTAGCGAGCAGAAAGGACAGAGATTTTTTATCAAATGATTAGACGTATAAATATCAAAATTACAGAAAAGCTAAAAATTCTCTCTCTCTTTCTCTCTCTCTGTACAAAAATAAAGGGGGTTCAAACCCCTGGAACCCCCCTCTGATACGTCAATGCTATAATATAATATTAATTATAATTAATATGGATCAATTTTCATTTATTATAAGTTAATTGAAATGAATCAATAAATACACACCTGAACATAAGCATATATTTAAATCATACTGGTACATGGAATACCAAAGCGAATATACTTATGAAATTCACAAATAATTTTTATTTTTCTATACGAGTGATTCGTCCGTACTTTTCGTCAGTTACACAGATAATCACAAAGTAAACAAGTTTACCGTTCGTTAAACCGATATTCGTTCGTTACGTGTTTGGTGTTCTCTAATAAGTACTTCATTACATAACTTGATCAACTGTCCTTATCTGCATTAAAGCATCATTTGAAATTTGATTAAAAGATACATCGTGATATTTAGATGGAAAAGAAAATTAATTAAAAAATAGGTGGCTGCAGCCGATTCAGATAATTACAACATAGACACTTAACGTTAAACTCGTGTTGAAATTGGATAAGAATAAATAGGAATTTATACTTTAATTTTTTTCCGGTGAGAGAAAACATTCATACACAGTGTCAAACTTCCGTATTCGCAATATCGAACGTTATTGTTCGACCAGATGGTATGTCTATTCATCATCCAATATAGACTATGCTTTGTTTACTTATTCTTATAATTCAAATTACATTCTTGTCTACAATGGCTCTAGATGATTGCATTGTAAAGTAATTTCAAAATTGCATTGTAAAGTTAGTTCCAAATATTTTGCACTATATTTTTTATATCTCTTAATTATTATGTTTTGTAAGATTAAAAATATGATTTTGTCAATTTTGAAGAAATGAATTTGGAGAACCAAGTTGCTGCTATAATTATTACTACGTCAACAACACATGCAAAGGTTGGTCATTCAGATGCACACTTTTTATTATGATCACGAAATAGATTTGAAACGTATAACAGATTTGATTAATTATTATGTTCTCTTACATCTTTACATTTGAAATATTGGTGGAGTTACAAGATGTGCATTTAGGAATCTAAGCTTGACAAAATACACTACGAGTTATTGTATTTATTTAGAGTGTCCAGCAGGATATTGGGGACACAACTGCTCTGATAAATGTTCAGACAAGTGGTTTGGACGTCTATGTAGTTTAGAATGCTTATGCCCCTCGACAGACTGCAATCATGGTAGTGGTTGTATTCAAACAACAGGTAAACTAAAGCGTATATTCTTAAAGCACACAGATAATCAATATTAAAATCGACAAGATAGGTGAGGCACGGAAAGTGTTCGTGGTATTTTGAAGACAATGCACATTACACTATAAGGTCTCCATGAATGAAAAAGTGACGAAAACGTAATAGTAAAATACCTTTAAAAATCGCCCCAAATAAATCTATGAAGTAGACATAAATAATGAATTCTGGATATTACAGGCATGGAATCAGTTGCCATGAAGGAGTAAGCACATCCCCTGTTCACCGGCTTCAGTCTTTGTGAACCTTGTGTATCGAAAAGATAAACGGAACATTTCATACATGTAGTAAAATTCAATATAAATACAAAGACCTCAAATTGGTATTCAATACATCTGCCATAATACGACCTAATAATTTATCTGTGCTAAAAGCTCATTCCAACGAAGATAGACTAAATGAATTCCTGATCTAAAGGGAGGATTTTGAAACATCGACACATCTGTCAGTAGCCTGCCTCGAACTCGGAGCATGCTCTGGAGTATCAAATTAGTTTGGAGATGTTCACATCATTTAGATTACAGGTAACAGCGGAAAAACAAGAGGCCCATGGGCCACATCGCTCACATGAGAAGCTTTGACCATTCTGCTCTTTACCAGATTTCCCCCTTGTAATACATAATGCATCCCCACCCTACCCCACTGATCATAATTTAGACACATTAAAAATAATTCCTATATATATCTATGTAAAACTTTGATTCCCCATTGTGGCCCCGTCCTTGCCCCGGGGGTCATGATTTGTACAATTTAGAATCTACACTACCCAAGGATGCTTCCACATAAGTTTCAGCTTTTCTGGCCCAGTGGTTTTTGAGAAGAAGATTTTCAAAGTTTTTTACCTATATATTTCTGTGTAAAACTTTGATTCCCCATTGTGGCCCCGCCCTTCCCCCGGGGGTCATGATTAGAACAATTTAGAATCTACACTATACCATGATTCTTCCACATAAGTTTCAGCTTTTCTGGCCCAGTGGTTCTTGAGAAGAAAATTTTCAAAGATTTTTCCTATTTATTTCTATGTAAAACTTTGATTCCCCATTGTGGCCCCGCCCTTCCCCCGGGGGTCATGATTTGAATAATTTAGAATCTACACTATACCAGGATACTTCCACATAAGTTTCAGCTTTTCTGGCCCAGTGGTTCTTGAGAAGAAGATTTTTAAAGTTTTTTCCTATATATTTCTATGTAAAACTTTGATTCCCCATTGTGGCACCGCCCTTCCCCCGGGGGTCATGATTTGAATAATTTTGAATCTACACTATACCAGAATGCTTCCACATAAGTTTCAGCATTTCTGGCCCAGTGGTTCTTGAGAAGAAGATTTTTTAACGACTCCACACTTTTTTTGTCTTTTCTTGATTATCTCCCCTTGTGAGGGGACTTGGCCCTTTATTTTAACAATTTAAATTTCCCTTTACCAAAGGATGCTTTGTACCAAGTTTGGTCGAAATTGGCCCAGTGGTTCTTGAGAAGAAGTTGAAAATGTGAAAAGTTTACAGACGGACAGACAGACAGACATGCGGACGGACAGCTAGACGGACGGACTGACGACGGACAAAATGTTATCAGAAAAGCTCACTTGAGCCTTCGGCTCAGGTGAGCTTAAAATGTTGACGATGGAAAAAAAATGAAATCATCTGGATTGTCAAACAGTTTTAATGTTATTTTATTTAATTTGTCTTTATTCAGTAAAACAATCGAATATGAAAAGATGAGGAAGACTCTGTGGTATTTTAAGTTCAAGAAATATATCGTCAATATATTGAAAGTAACAATAGTAAATAAATAATATATCGTCGATGTTAGAATTTATGTTCTAAAGTTCTCTTGGAAATGAACTTCATTGGTCACGTAATCGAATCCTGTGAAGCATGAAAGGCTTCTCAGTAGATTTGGTTATATATACGTACCAACCAAGTTCATTACACAACGATTTTCTTAACATTGTTACCGTTCACGGTAGCTTAGTCGGTAGAGCGCTCGCTCGCCCGTGATCGGGAGGTCGCGAGTTCGTATCTCGGCCTCGACTGACCTAGTCGAAAAAATGGGTAGCAATTGTTCGTTCGCCATGCGCTCGGCACTTTGAAGTGAAAGTCACGGATCCTTAAGATGAGACCTTAAAAACCGAGGCCCCGATTCAGCGGCAGGCGTTGGCACAATAAGGATCCCTCAATGCTCAATGGCCCTGAGTGCCGAGGAAAGGTCAAAATTTGAAGCTCTTCACCAGCATACGGTGCCGTCTCCATATGAGTGAAAAAATTCTCGGGAGGGACGTTAACATTTACGTTCAGCAGCCAAAAAACACGAGCAAAATACCACACGTGTTTGCTCACTGATGCCCCTATTTTACATGTCTTGACGAAGACTGGTGTTTCACAAATATAAGTCAATTTCAAAAGTCAAAGTCAAGAGATCAAAATAAATTTTGTACCCAATTACAGGTCACTACATGTAGAAATATGTTAAAAAGAAAATGTTAGTACCAGCTGTTCAAAAGATATGCAATTATAAATGGAGCCTGTTTTGGAGGGTAACAGTTGAAATTGACACCCCAAGGAAAACCATTGTCAACCGACGCGTCAGCGGAGGTTGACAATGGTTTTCCGAGGGGTGTCAATTTCAACTGTTACCCTCCAAAACAGGCACCATTTATTTTATCATACTGAATGTCTTCTTAATTTACTATGTCAGCAATACTAATCGTCGATAGCCTTTTCGTTCACATTTAGAAAGCTTTCAAACTCCCCGCTACTTTGAAAAAGATTTACTGACCTCTTTATTGTTTTTTTGATACTCTACGAGTCCTTTACCTTCTAAAGTTTCGTTATTTCTGTCTGTCGTTTGTTGTTTTCAAGCATAAGTTCAAGCGCATAAGTTCCACGCATGTGGCATTACCGTTGTGTTACCCATTGCCACGTGTGTTGCTAAGGATTTGGGTAATAGAACGGATTGTTAACTGCGTCTAAACCAATCAGATTGTAGTATTTAACATGAAAGTATAATAATAGTTAATATTTTCAAATGTATGAATGTGATTGATTGTACATCTGTTGTTTAACTTCCCTCTTGCGAATTTTTCACTCAAATAGACAATGTAATATGAAGAGAAAAAAAACGCAACATGATTTCTAGTATTATAAGTTTCACAACTATTTCACACATAACATGGAAAAAATCACATTAAAGAAAATTCGTGTAAAAATCTGCAAGAAAAAAAAGTCTGGTATACTAGATAAAACTTAAGAATAGCAGAATGAAACCTATTATTATTATTTTCATATGTCATTTGCTACAATAACAAATAAGGCTTTATTGAAAATAATTTAATTTATGAAAATAATTTTCAGATTATTCAATTTTGAAGAACAATTTGAAAATCTTAAATAAATATTAGATGTTCAAGCTTCTATTGAAGCAGACAAGTGGTACAGATGTGTATTGTTATAATTATCTTTCAAAACATGTTGTCATTTTCTTTTGTATTTTTCAGATCATTCAAGAAATAGAGGGTATAGTCTATCCAAGCATTCCCCGAATTGGACGATTTCCTACATTCTAAAAATTACTACACCAGAAACATTAGAAAACTATCATTACTCTTATAGAGGTGTTATAATTTCAATCGGAACATTGATTTCAATATATATTTTCCTGATCATTATCTATGAAATTTACAAAAATCTGAAAAACGAATTTTTGAAAAGGCAACATCATACCATTAACAACACCGATGATCTTTATGTTGAGATACCACATATGGACAATGAAGTAAGGTAGATTAAAAAAAAACCTGGAATACATGTAAATGAGTCTAGACTATTTAAAATTATCAATACATGTATGTTCAATTCAATCATAAATAAAATATTGTGCATATTTGTAATAAATATATGTTAAAAGGTACAAGTGTTCAGGAAATTAATTTAGGGAAGTCAATGCCAGAAATTATTTTGCAATTGAAAAACTTGATCGGGGTATGGCACCTCTTCTTTTGGCTTTACAGGGGTTAAAATTTACCCATTGAGTAAACATAGGTAAAATATTTGACAAACCTTGATCCAATTATCAAGCAAAAGTAATACATGTAGTTATTTATGATCTTTGTCCATAGTATATTTTTTCTCCCTTACCTCACCCGTAGAGTGCTCTTAGTTAAATAATGTTCAGAAATGTTGAAAAAATATCTTAAATGAAAAGTTAATGTCTCAAATTCTATTTGAATTAAAAATATTGTCTAAAGCATATCTAACACTTTTGTGTACCCATATGTTATCCGCAACACCTCTTACACCTCCGAAGAAATTTAAAAGACTTTCACACAATCGTTGTTTAATAGTGCCATTGTGCACTTAGCTTCCTATTTACTTTTTGATCCGATACATATTTTTGGTCTCCCATAGCAAAACATGGATACTGCCATTCCTTCTATAATATTGAAGGGTACCCATCTCTTATCTGAAACTCCTTCTATACTTTAGTTATTAATAAATTTAACAATACTTTCACAGATTCTTTCTTACACGAATCCAGTATTAATTTCCTATTTTACATTTTGATCTGACTCTTATTTCGAGTATCTCAGAGCAAAGCATGCATGAACTTTTCCATTATAATCATTTGGGAGGCGGGGTATAATTTAATTAGCTTGGTATTTTCATTAAAAACTTTCATATTCAGTACATTAAAATGAATTAATAGTGTTGACAAAATGATATGGTCATTACGCATATGCATGCACGTGCTGTTGCGTGCAATGCTAAAATGACAAATTTAAAATACTTGATTTATTCGATATTTTTGAGAGAAAATAAAGTTGTATCAATAGCGTACACATGAACATGTATTCACCTGTTCGGGCATGCAATGCTAAAGAAGAAGGTATGGTTTCCATACAAATTTTGCCCTGTGATTATCTAAAAAATTAAACTGGTGTAAAAGTTGAAATCTCATGCTTTTTAAATAATTGAAAGTCAATGCAGAAAAAATCATACAAGTCATTTTCTTCACATGTGTTTTTAAATGCTAATTATGACGTCAAAAACATGTGCATTTTCCCGTATTTTCTTTAAAAGTTGCAGAAGACACCAATTTTCAATGGAATTTTCTTTCAGATAACATTGTCCACAGGCATCGCCCACAAAGATCTTGAGATATGTGATTTGTTATTGAATTTTGCACAAAATATCAAAAAATTAACGTGGGCGACGGCTGTGGACACTGCTTTCTAAAGGAAAATCACCCTTAAAATGTGCCATTTTGAGGCTTTTTCTGTTGAAAATAGAGAAATGCTTCACATTAATGACGTCATATTTGCAGAATGGTAATCCTTCATGCCATATTTTTCCCTGATTTATCAGAGTCATTTATTTAACTAATGTTTAAGTCAGTTTCAAAACTTTTTTATGTCATCAAATTTTTAGGGCGCAATAAAGCTAAAACCATACCTTCTTCCATTGTCAATATACGTTGTATACTATAGGAAAACGTTGTTAAAGTGTAAAATGCAGAGAGATTACCTTATTTAATGAAGCTTACATGGAATAAATAAGGCAACAAAACAGGTTTGGGGTCAATTAGTTTGAAATGTAATTAATTACTTTCAAATACATTTATTATTTTGTCAATTACTTGCAATTATAATTACATTGATTTTTTCAACTGCAATTAATTACTTTGACAAATGTAATTAAATACATTTCAATTACTTGATTTTTATTTTTTAAAAAAATTTAAGTAAGATTTTTTCTATAACGATCGAAATCGAACTTTCATTCAGTGTTTTTGTTCTTGGGTATAAGAGGGGTTCACATCTGGTCAAAATTAGTCCTTTACCTTATAATGAGTGTGACACACTGTATAAACAAATTAAACATTATAAGACAATTAATTATTGTACAAACACAAGCCCATGCTTCACCACTATGATGTATGATAAGATCTTTATCAGTTAGAACTGAGATTTATAAAACGTGGGACTAAGTAGTAAAAACCCACCAGTATAAAACGGTGTATCAGTATAAGACACCTTTTTAAAAATAAACTTTCATTTTGAAAAAAAAGTCATTAAAATGTAATTGAAAAGTAATTGAAAATACATAACCTTTTCTAAAATGTATTTAAATGCATTCAATTACTTGAAATTGAAGGCTCGCTCTGATACAAATTACTTCCAATTACTTTGAAAAATGCAATTAATTACACTAAATTACAATAACTTTATTCAATTACCCCATTACTGGTCAAAAGGATATTGGGGGGGGGGGGGGCGTTTGGGGAACATCTGTAACGGTTCCTGCTACAGTTAGTTTGGAATATTTTTTAAACGATATTTATTTGTTTTGTTTTTTAAATCTTTTATAAGGAAAAATTTGCAATTTAATTATGTATTATATACTTTGCGATTTACTAAAAATCTACACCGGCCAAAACATGCAGCGGCATTTCAGAAACTTAATAACCTTTGAATGATTTTAATGGGTAACTTAAACATAGGGATCTAAAATTCAGTCTTCTTTTTTCATAACATTTCGTCCATTTCTAAATTAACAGAAAGGCAAATGTCAATTTTGTTTGTTCAGAAAAACGTAGTTGTGATTATCCTTCTCTTTTTTAATGAAATTAACAGGACGCAAAACACAATCAAACACATATTCTCTTCAATTTAGACTTTTCATATACAGGAAATTATAAAATAATTGTTATAAAAAATATGAATAGCTGTTATGTCATGTATTTATTTATTTTTACTTAATTAATTGAAGGTTTCTTTAATATATATGATACATGTACTGACCTTGACCATGCCAATTAAATTTTACATCTTTTTGTACCACATTATGCCTCTCTTAATAAAAAGAATTGATGTCGAAAGTTGCTCTGACGGGTAAGATTCTAGCATTCCTTTCTTTAAATTTATTTTAAATATTACGTCCTGTCATTTTAATCTGTTAATATTTAGTAGGCGTAAAGAAGATGGATCGTGCTGTACAAACTTTTATGCAGATGGGGACCTCTGTAAAGGTAATGTTTATCTATTTGCAATCTATAATGTTTTAGAGTATAATTTATGTGATCATTTACCTTTCTTCCTTGTAAAAGTTCTTTTTGGCATGAAAATAAAGTATTTTTTCTTTGATTTACTCGGGTATTTATTCATGGATTATGCATAGAAATAAAGATTATATTTGATATGGATTTTTAGTTTGGGTTTTTCGGAGAAAACTGTTCCAAACCTTGTCCTTTACCAACATACGGAGAGGGATGCTCACTGAAATGTACATCTTGTGCAAACTGTAATCACATATACGGATGTACTCAAACTACCCAAACTACAGGTATCGTATTCAAACGTTTAAATTAACACGGTTATTATTCTGAGACAAAATATTAAAATTGGTATGAGTCAAATGTATTGTTTTTAAAAGTTACTGCATAAAATAAAAAATGTATGTTCTCATCAAAATACGTTGATTAATGGTTCGTTTTTTTTTCATTAAATATAGAAGTTACTTGTGGCTTCTAATTCATTATTCATAAAAACCAATTACCATTATTCGTCATCACTCTAAAGGCTAATATTATTTCATATATCCAGCTGACTCCCTGGACATAGATTTTAAGAATAATGTTCGTTTCTCGTTCTCTGCGCCACGTAAAAGTTAAAACATAAATCAATTATGAATCCAAATATCCAAAAAGTGCAAAAAGTGAAAGTAAAGTATATGGGTTTAGAATGAAGCCCAAAGTGTCGAAAAAAATATTAAAATTTGAAGCTTTTCTTCAGCATATACTCATACAAAGACGTCTCCGTAGGAGCAAAAAAAAAATCTCGAATGGGACATTAAACAACATAAAATTCAATTAATCGTTCAAAAAATTGACTCCGAGATAAAAAAAAAAAACCATCCTGATTCATTTTACTTCCATACTTTCAAACAAAATAAATACTGCTAGTCATGGTTGACTAGAACAATATATGAGTACTAGGAATATAAAATTTTAAACTAATCTCGTTTTTGAATTGTTGGAATGAAGAAATTATCACTTGACAACATAAATGTAACAAAGTTACATTTTTTGCTGATAAGTTACATCAGAAAAATTTAACAATAACAATAATCTTTTCAAAAGTTATCAAATTTATGGGCTGCAACTAGTACAAACTATTTTGTATTTTCCAAATGGTGATCAATGTCTTGTGATAAAAATAATGGCAAATGTGTCATACATGTATATGATTTTGAAGATAAATGGCCGTAAAAGAGCAGTTATAACCACTTGTCTTCTAATAGTAAAAATACTCTTTCTTCTCTTATATTTCGATCGATATCTTTAAATACTAATGTGACTGTGTGCCATGTGGGATTATATTTCATCATTAATTAGTGTCTGTATAACGTATGTCGGAAGATTTTTATGTTTGTTGTGGATGTGATCGTTCAATAAAGAGAGAACAAAATCTCTTTCATTCTACGTAATCAATACACACAGATCTAACGCTTTAGGTCTATATTTTGAGCGACGGAATACAGCAAACTCTTGTGTTACGATAATGTTCTTTTGGAAGTTCATTTAAGGAATGTTTTTTAGTTTTGCGCTATAGCGCTCCATGAAAAATATGCCTACGTGCAAGTCTGTGTGATTCTCACACCAATAATTCACACTAAACTTAAAAACATTCCTTATATTTACATTTTACATGTTTTGAAGCAAC